GGGCTGGGCGCGCGCACCCGTCTTCCTTGACGGCGTGCAAAGACCTTTCACCCGCGCGACGCCCCCGAGAGTATCGCGCAGCTGCCGCGCCGCCCTGCCCTCCTCTACAGATAGTACCATTCTCGGGAGCTTTTTGTGGTGCAGCTTGCGTTGTTATCGTGTCTCGACTCTGACATTGCGAGAGCTGGCGCTTAGTACGCCGAAGTGTGTGTAATGTGTGCAAGTCCTTCCCCCTGGAGGCATAGGCAGCCAGGCGGACGCATTGGAGGCAGTGGGCCGCTTGCGCTACGCTTGCGTCCCCGGCCGCCGGAGCGCGCCACTAGCGTCGTGACTCAATGCCCCCCTCCCTCCCGGCTGCGCCCGGCTGGCGGCGAGGCTCGGGCGGCGCGCGGCTCTGGCGGCGGCGGCGAGGCCCGGGCGGGCGGGCTGGCCAGTTGAGTGTGAACGCGAGCTCGAGGAGGAAGGGCGGCCCGTTGCTGCCTTCCCTGTCGGCCCTGTCTGGCCTGGCGCGTTGTGGTGGTGGTGGTAGTGGTGCCGAGTCACATGTGTAGTGCAGTGAACAACACAAGACAAAAGTGATGAAATTAAGAAAAAAGTGCGGAAACATGTTGAGAAGTAATTCTCTTTATCTGTGATATACTCCACGAGAGAGCCGCGCCCGCACGGCCGGCCACTGTTTGTGCGTGGAAGTGTGGTGTGTGTGTGTGTTTCCCTCGGTGACCAGTGCTGAGTGTTGTGATGAGCAAGAGGATCCGGTTGAACGACAACCATCTTCCATGGGAGATGAAAGCGGACGACGCCTCTGTGGGCGAGGCGCACGCGCACGAGGAGCGCACCGAGTCCCAGCGTGCCTCGAGTAGAATGAGGTACATACAATATGGATTACCACCTGCGGATAAAACCTACGCCTTCTTCTGCCTGCTGCTGCTGCTGCTTCTTCTCCTCGTCGTCGGGGCGCCCGTGCTGCTGCTCCTGCCGTTGACGGCGGCTGTGTGGATACCGGGGGGTGGCTTCGACGTGCCCTCCGGAGGGGTCGTCGAGGACGGCGTCGGCGTGCCGCCGGCCGCGGCGGCGCGTCCACCAGGGCCTCGGGGGCCGCGGTGGAGCGTAACATATGCTGGGCCCCGCCTGCCCGCGCGCTGCCCGCGCGCTGCCCGCGCTGCGCTGCGTGCCAGATAGGCAAGGCCGGGCGGGCTGGGCCGAGCTGGGCTGGTGTAATCAGAGGCCCCACAGCGGAGCACAGCGGAGCACAGCGGAGCACAGCGGAGCGGGCAGCGCGCGGCCGCAGCCATGGCGACCCGCACGCGGAGCACGCCCGTGCTGTTAGTGCTCGTTGTGTGTGGCTGGGAGGGGCCGGGGCTGGGCCCGCCAGCCCACATGCTGGGCGCGCCCGCCGAGAGAGGCTGACGACGACGACGCCGTCGGCGACGACCCGCGTCCGCATCGCGTGGTTGCGGTTCTTTCCCGCTGCCGTCGAAACCGCTGCTATTTTCGGCGACCGGCTTTGCGCCTTGTCCTCGTCGAAGCGCCCGCGCTGGTTCGTGGTCTTCCCCCGTGACGTGCCCGACGTGACGTCCGCGGCGTCCTCGCACGTGTCCGGGGCCACGCGCGCGCGCGCCGCTGCTGCGGTTGGTGCCCCTCGCGCGGCCCCGCAGTGCGTGTTGCACAAGGGTGTGCCGTGTCGCCGTCCTCGGCATACGAGTCGCGTCGGTTTCCTAGAGAGAGAGAAAGAGACCCGCCCGCAGCCGTTGCCGCCGCCGCCGCCGACTACCCGCGTCGCGCTCGTGGAGGGGAGGGAGGTGGGCGGCACTCACCTGGCGAGCCTTACGTAACTAGTTACGGCTCCAAGTGCATTTTCTCGGCGGGTCACGGTACAGCCGCGAAGGCCAGGGTTAGTTTCTTGAGTCACCGTGCCCCCCCCCCCTCTCCTCGCGGCCGTGGTGGTGTCCGCGTGTGTGAGCGGCGCGGCGGCGCTTTCTACACGCACGTCCCCGTCGCCATTAGGATGGCAGACCTTGTCGCGGCCGGGCGCCGCGCTCTCTCACGCCTCCTGGATGCTGCCGCGGCGCCAGCTCTAAGCGCCAGCTCTCAGGGACGGCGGCGGGAGGCGGGAGTGAGCGTCGTCGCGGTGGAGGCGGTGCGAGTGTGACGGAAGGTCCCAATCGTGGCGGCCCCGCGCCCCGCATCCTGTGTGCGTCAGTGGGTCAGCGGCCTGCCTGATCAAACGTGGGCGGTGTATACGCCCCCTGACCTTTACCCCGTAGGTTTTTTTGCACATGCTACCACCACCACCACCTGCTGGGCGCTTATCTAAGGCCAGCTGCTCGGCTCTGTTCGGCCTTGCTGCGACGTGACGTCAGGGTGCACGGCACGCTCGCCCGGCTGGCGTGCCCTGCTGGTGGATGTGAAACGTTTAGTCGTGATAATGCACTGGCTGGTGATAAGCGCCTTGTAGTGCATCTTGTCGGCCGGTCTGGGCTCGTCCCTAAGGGACGGCCCCGGCCAAACGGGGGGAGCGGGGGGG